AATAAAATCTTGCTCCTATCATTAACATCTTATGACTATCTGATTAGAGTTGTAACTCAACTCATTGTTCAGAAACGGCTCATATTCTGCTCGCTAAGCAAACGAGCCTAATGCGAACACCCCTTTTCGGCTCGAAATATACACCCCTAGAAACAAGCTTAGGGAAAATAAAAGGTTGAAATTTTGATATGATTTTTATTATTTGAACTGAGAATTTGAAAACTGGAGGACCGGAAGCACGTAATATTGTTCATAGGGAGGAATATTACATACACCGATCATCTATATCCGGTGTATGGTATTCGGGTGATATTGCACCTGAATATATTTTCGCAGGACAGGGTGCGAGTTTCTGTAAAAAAACCTCTGTTTTACAACAGGACAACAAAATTTACTTACGAAGCCTGAATTAAGTTCCTTTCAAACCAACAATTTCAGCTTTTTTTAGGCATCATCAGCGTATCCAACAAAAAGAAAATCATTATTTACAAGACAAAACGGATCTGCATTCCTTCGGATTTTTTCCGGTCACACAATAAAAAGAAAAGAAAAAAAAAAGAGGAAAAAAAAAAGGAAATTTGGAGAAAAAAGGGTCCTTTTTCCTTGTAAAATCCCTAGCTGCTGCTCAGCGGAGGCTCACTCGAACAGAGATCCAGCAAAGGGATTCATCAGATCGGCGAAGCATCCACCTCAGATCAGAGATCCTCAGCTTTAGACATCACCGACAGACGGCTCGGCTGCAAATGAAAGGATGTGCGGCGGCGCTGTTGGTGTGACGATGGCCGGATCAAAGCCGTAAGAGCGCGTTTCACCCACTCCCCCTCCACAGTTCCGATCCTAACCAACGAGTTGGTCATCGCGGACCGCCGAGCGTTCAACCGGTTTGATGGAGACGAAACGGCGTGCTGGCCTGCAGAGCGACGAGGCGAAGCGCCTTTGTGGAGGCTGCACCGGAAGGAACCGGGGTGTGTGGTCGGCGAGCACATGCATGTCTTTCGAGGCGGAGCGGGAGAGGAGATCGGGCCACGTTTGGCGGAGATGGGATCAACCGGGCGGCCGGTGGGGGAACCGACGAGATTAACGCGCGTCGGTGAGGCGGAGCGTTGGTGGAAGAAGTCCGGGGAGTGGGAAGAGAAGTTGGGCGGGTGGGAGCCAGCGAAGGTTGTTGTGGTGAAGGAGGAAGTGTAAGGGCCGTTGGCGGCGGTGGGTGAGGAGTATCGCCCGCATCCTCTGGCGCGGTCGCCGGACAAGAAACGGCCAGACGACGAGAAAGAGTGAGGAAAGCCGTTGGACCCGGGTAGCGCCATGGTGTCAGATCGGGTTCTTGAAGTTGCAGCCATTGGTGATGAGAAAGAAAGGAATTCGAAAGGGAAAACTAGTGGCGGCTCGCTGATATTTTTGGCAAACCGGGCTTCAGCTTTGGCGCAATACTTATAGCGAAATTTGAGATTCGGAAAGGCCTTTTTTATTAAACAACGAAGTTGGGTTAGTTTAACCGGAGTTAAGGTTTGAAATGGGCGACCAGTGGTAACGTTCATCGGATAAGGGTACTATTTCCTGCCTTTTATTATTATTATTGTTTGTTTTCCGCTTAAAACGGCACGCAGCATGTTTTGGAAGGCTAAACATGGTGGTGCACATGGGTGCCGTATGGGTGGATTTTATGGTGTCAAGTAATAGGGCAAAACCAGGGGCTAAATAATTTAAGAAAAGCAACTGGGGGCCACCATCGGATTTGTTTCCGAGTATATTTTTAGGGATTGTGTTTGATGATTTTTCCTAACCATGTTTAGTAAGATTTAGAATTTGGAGCACATAAACAGTATTTGGATGGGACAGCAATTTCTAGTTGTTTGTGCATAAATGAGCATTCTGTTCCTGTTAAGTAATATTGTTTCAGCAGAAGTATCTTGACAATATATTTGATACTATAGAAGGAGAAAACTCATACAAAATAATTAAAAAAATAGAAAATTGTTCTCACAATGTAAAAAAAATAAAATTCCAAGTACGTCAAATAAGAGACCACCGAATGAGAGAAGTAGATATTTGAAGAATTTCATAATTCAAATTAAAAATAGTTTATAATTAATCATTATCTTATGTTAAATAAGCATTGAAGGTGATGTATGGTAAGAATGGTTTAAGAAAGAACAACTTATATATATGTGATGTTTAGCTATTCTCACACATGACTGTTAATGCCAAAATTTATTGAAAATTTATTCATTTAATTTTGCTTTAACAGATCATAAATACAATTGGCATTAAAAAAAAAAAGAGAACAACTTATATATATGTGATGTTTAGTTATTCTCACTCATGACTGTTAATGCCAAAATTTATTGAAAACTTATTCATTTAATTTTGCATTAACAGATCATAAATACAATTGGCATTTAAAAAAAAAGGCCATTGTGATTAATGCAATGTTAGACCACTATGAACTATGTATATTCCAATCAATAAATGATGTGGAAGCAGAGTTCATACCATATATATTTTTTCCTATTGAAACTAGAAAATTCACTATCAATTTTGAGAGACAATATGCAAATTAAAAGTGGTTAAAAATTCATTTTGAATGACATCTGGCTGCAAATTTGAGAAGATTCACTTTCAAGATATAAGCATGAGATGAATAGTACACCTTAAAAAGAAGAATTTTACAGAGAAATGTGTCTTCTCCTTCTTCAAAGGATTCACTTTTGCATTAGAATGTTCACCAAAATGATGAGAGGAATAGCAATCTCCCAATCTTATTCTCTGGATTTTGGAATATCATGTATGCTAGATGAAAAGAATCCCCATTATTGCAACAAAAAAATTTTTATTTCTTTGTCATCATTCCCAAAAAAATCAGGCTCACCGTCCAACTGGATCTCATTGTTGCTCAAGAGAATAGATGTTCGGCTTAAAGACGGTGAAGCCTTTGCACGAAGAATTCCACCAAGGTGTTTGTATTCTTCTATAAAACTCTCCATGTATTTCAGATCAACTGTATCAGCAAGGTCAGTCACCGATCCAATTACAATAGAATCTTGAACAATTTCGGGAGTTTTGATGCTCGCTGTAAGCTATGATCCTTCGTTCTCTTTCCAGCTAGCTATGATGGCGATTGTATCGCGAAGTTTCATTCACGAAGTCAATGATTTTGGTCACGACACAGAAGAGACGCGAGAGAGACAAGACGCGAGGGTAGCGGGGTAAAAGTTTCAAACGAATGCAGGCCGCGGGGTCGATTCAGTAAGCCGCATTTGTTAAGAAATCAAAAAAGCCGTTTTCAAAACGCAGTCTGAACGCGCTTATCAAACGAGACAACGACGTTTTGAAAATACCGCCCGCACTTATAAACTGCCCCAAACGGGGTCTTAGAGTAAAATTGAAGGTAAGAAGTTATCAATTAAGTATACCAGCATGCACTCATTTGAAGATTCTTTTGTAGAGCAAGAAGATTAAATTGTTGATTTTAAATTTATTGGTGGATTACATTAGCATCCTATTCAAGGATATGAGATGATAGAATAAAAAGAGGATGCGAAGAAATATGGCCTGAAGTTTTGTAATTTGTCATTGCTAGAAAGCACGAGATTTGAGACAGATTTACTTTTAGGCATGTCCTTATCCATCTATAGAGATATTATAATGAATAAACAAAGTATCATGAGAGCTACATATGGAGTAGCCAAGTACATTGCTATGTTCTCATTTTGTATTCAAATTTTGTGCTAAATTTTTAAAATAGCATTTTGTTAAAATAATTAAACTGACATCTAAAAAGAAAAATTTCAAAATCAATAAAGTTGACCCATCAGCAGCGACTTTGCCACGTCTATAGCAATATCATTGTTGGCATGGCAACTTGCTAATTTTTTTTTTTTTTTTAAAAAAAGGTATTAAAATCATTAGGTGTTAGGCATTTATACAAATAAAAATAGTGTGACATGTATGTAGAAGAGTAGAACGACGATAGGAGAAGGTGTGGGGAGAGATGGAAAGGAGTTTGTTTATTATTATTATTATTTTGGGTCTCACGACAAAGAAGAGAATAAGAGAGAAGAAGAGAGGTGATGACATGATAAATTATATTTTATTTTTAATAACTATACTGAGTATTTGCATTTTCACAACAAATTTCTTAAACAAACAATACTCGAGAGTGGGAGGGTCGTTCACTGTACAAAGCTCGTTAAGGTGAAAGTATAAATATATACTAGAGCAACCAGAATGAATTTCAAAGAAAACGAACAACCAAAAATAAAAAATCTCCCCCAAGGGTAAACAGTCACCCTAAACAAGTCACTGATGTGTAGAAAATATCACTTGAATTCATTTATGTTTTACACATATTTTTTATAAAATTGCACTTTAAAGAAAGATATTTTTTATATTTTTCTTGCAGGTATAACATATATTGGATGTGGAGCAATATGGAGGAGACTTGGAGCACTATGAAGGGGATTTAGGGCAATGTCGAGGAGACTTGGAGCAAAAGAATTTATAGGAGACTGGCGCCTATGCACCAGACCACTGGGCGTCTAGGGGTCAGTCCCTTACCTGACAACTAAGAGGTTGGCGCCTAGACGCTACCCACTTGACGCCAAGGAGTCGCGATATTAGCGCCTATGCGCCAGACACATGAGCGCTAGACCCACGGGCGCCAAGGCACTCCTCCTGAGTTATGCACACAAAGAGCCTGAGGCCTGGGCGCCTAAGCACCAGTAACTGCTGGAGGCAGTTTTGAGCAGCTCCTATGCAGGTCGTGGGGAGTTATTTGACCAACCAAGTAAGGATTGAAGACAAGAAGGAGAAGTCTTTTTAGGTGTATATGTTAGAGGACAGAAGGGGGTTGTTGTTGCTTGCTTAAGGATAAAGTAGGATAGGTTTTAGTGAGTTATTTGGTGAGGAAATGAGTTGTAAAGGGAGGAGAGACTTCAGAATAGCAACAAGGATCATAATTTCTTTGGGTGAAGCTTCTTCAAAGCTTTCTAAAGGAGAAAGAGATAACTATTTGAGATTTTGTACTGTTGCATTTCTTTAAACATATCAAATAGTGGATTTTCATTGTTGTTTTCAATGAAGCTTTGTGGTTTGTTTGTCATGCTTTCTGAGTAATTCCCTTTACCTTACCTTGTGATGTTTGAGTAGGATGTATAAGAGTGAAATATGTTTTAAGAATTATTTTTAAACATTTAATGTAATGATTAACTATCAGCTTTTCATTTAATTTCCATTCTAGCTAATTAAATGTTAAAATGTGTTGTGAACCATAATAAGTCAGGAGAGCTAAGGTGGAATCAACAAAGTTAGTCACGTTGAATTGTGGAGTATAGGTGGATATGCTTCGTAGGGAGAGGCAAATGTTAGGAAAATGATATTTGATGGGTTTAAAATGGGGTTTAAGGAATTAATTTTTTTTTAATTAATTTTCTTTATGCACTCGGGAGAGGGTAAATAAGAGAGTTTCTCCTATTTGTCACTAGCCACATTTACAATTAACACTTTACATTTCCTATGCTCCACTTAATACAATATAAGGGAGGATAACTGTTTAACTTGATATTCACAAATCCAAAAAGGTTAAGTAGGATTTTTGTAGATTTTAATATTATAAATAGATTTCAATTCCGTAGGAGTAGTTTATAGAACTTAAACTTATCTTAATTTCAGATTAAGAGCAAAACTAGTAGGCTAGAACTTTTCCCAAAGTTTAATTCCCCTAATCCCTATGGGATCAACATTTCAAACTAAAAAATCTGATATCACTGGTACAACACGTACACTTGTCTAAGCCCCTAGAGAGTGAGTGCACCTTGAAGCGGGTATCAAGTTTTTTAGCACCATTGTTGGGGAACAACGATATACTTAACTTAATAGAATTTTAGTTAAAACTCAAGGTCCTAGACTTGGAAAATTGTAGTGTAAACTGTTATGTTTAATTGTGTGCTTGTTTATTTAAAAAAGAAAAATTCAAAAATATTTTTTGGTGTGAATATTTCCTTTTAGATTCCTAGCTTGTGTATGCGTAGTTCAGGACCTACGGGACTTGCATCATACGATTCTGATTTAGAGAGAACTATTAGGAAAATCATAAAATAGAAAAAAGCTTCAAAAACTTGTAGAAGAGATGGCAAACAACCCACAAAACAATTTAGAAAACCATGAACCAGTTCATGATGCACATAGACCTTTAAGAGATTATAATAATCCTATGATATATGAACTTCAATTAGTATTCAGAACCCTATCATTAAGCTAACGCATTGGAACTAAAACTTGTTATTATCTGACCAAAGGAAAATATGTTGAGATTTTCATACCTCTTTTATACTGTTTTTAATGATATTACACTTTAAAGAAAGATATTTTTGATTTTTTGTTGCAGGAATTATGAATTAGGGTCAATGGAGCAAAAAGATGCA